CCTAAACCCGTGAATCCCAAACCCTAAACCCTAAACCCTTGAATCCTAAACCCTAAACCCTAACCCCTTGAATCCCAAACCCTAAACCCTAAACCCTTGAATCCCAAATCCTAAACCCTAAACCCTTGAATCCCAAATCGTAAACCCTAAACCCTTGAATCCCAAATCCTAAACCCGTGAATCCCAAACCCTAAACCCTAAACCCTTGAATCCCAAACCCTAAACCCTAAACCCTTGAATCCCAAATCCCAAATCCTAAACCCGTGAATCCCAAACCAAAAACCCTAAACCCTTGAATCCTAAACCCTAAACCCTAACCCCTTGAATCCCAAACCCTAAGCCCTAAACCCTTGAATCCCAAACCCTAAACCCTAAACCCTTGAATCCCAAACCCTAAACCCTAAACCCTTGAATCCCCAATCCTGAATCCCAAGCCCTAAACCCTAAACCCTTGAATCCCAAACCCTAAACCCTAAAACCCTAAACCCTTGAATCCGAAATCCTAATCCCAAATCCTAAACTCAGGCATCTCCTTCCCTGCGGGCTCCGGGTTGGTGGCTTTTGCCGCTGCCACGGGTGTTATGCCTCTGGATACTGGGTCGACATACGGGGATTCTTTTAGGGTTTAGGCATTTAGGGATTTAGGGTTTAGGGTTTAGGGTTTGTGTGGGTGTGGGTGTCTTTAAGAGGAGGGGGGGTTCAGGCTTAAGGGATTTAGGATCTAGGGCTCGGGCTTGTTTACGTTATATTTGATAGGCGTGAAGAAGGTTTCTTGTTTTCCTGAAGAAGACGGACCAAGGATATGCCGGAGAGCGCGCCTCGTCTGCTTTCTGAGCATGGCAGTTAGATTTTGCCAGAAGGGCGTCCCAGTTCTGGTTTACGGCAGGGTCGAAAGCTAAAGGCAGAAATTACCATATAGGGACTACGTCAGGATAGTAATGGGAAAAGAGACGGAGACTACCAGCCATAATATTATGACAGAGTGTTCGACGGACAGTTGACGCTGATTTGGTTTGCCTCGCAGTGCAGGTCCTTGTCCGTTTCAGTGGCACGATGCAGCCCGGCGTCACGTTGCGAGATCTGGTGCACGCGATCCCCTACTTTGCCATTAAGAAGGGCCTCTTGACAGCCCCCTGGCTTGGATTTCAGAAGGAACTGTTATTATCATTATTCTTCTTACAAGAAGTATTCCTGTCATTTTCATTGGTATTGTAGTATCATGATTCTTACTATCATTACTATGGCTGGTATCATGGTGACCCTTGGACATTTCTCGAAATAAGGGGCCCAGATACCAACGCAAAAACGGTTTAGCTTCGGCCGGGAGCCGTCCTGGCTTCATGTGAGCTATAGCCTAAACTCCTAGTATCCCCCTTAATAAGTCCCCTATATAGCCCCCTATGTAACCCCCTTTAAGGAGTTAAGACTATAGCTCATGTGCTTGTTGTCAAAGGTCGCAGTAGAGGGCGCAATCTCGGCACTTCTAAAGCGCAGAAAACTCATCCTCTCACCATAGTAACACCCCCCTCCACCCTTAATTATGAATACCCCATATGGTACCACGATATGAGCAGAAAATGGACTTTGCAAGTTATTAGCACCTCGCCTTACCTCACCCCAACTGGTGAGTCATATGGCATATAGTCCCAAATTGGCAATCCCTAAACCCTAAACCTTAAACCCCTAAACCCTAAACCCTTTGGCAAGAAGCGCTGGACCTCTGAGCCCTGAATCCCACTCCAAGGTCGAGAAGAAGGGCAAGGTGAAGCTGGGTCAATGTCAGAGATCCTGTTGATGCTAAGAATCCTGCATGACTTCTGCTATGCTATAGTACTATAATTTCAAAGGTACAAGATACTTAGGGTCATGCAGGATTTTTAGTATCCACTGTAGGTGATTAGTTTGCTGATATGTTTACACTTTTCTTACTGGTTCCTAGCAGGGAGTAAGGAAATATTTTATATAGTGGTGAAAAAAGCTTACATTTCCTTATTTCCTACTAAGAACCAGGAAGTTTTTGAGGGCCAGAGGTTTCCTCAAAGGAGGCCGTATTTGTTTTTAGGGACCCTAAATCCTAGACCCTACCAACAACATCAGTTACTTGCAGGTTAGTTGTGATTACCCCCTAAGTAGTAGTCCCATAAAGCTGTGGGTTAATGGCCGGCAGGGAAAAATACCCTAAATGAACCCTAGGTGCATCCCGAAGCCCGGCAGGAATTTCTAGGGGCCCTAAGGGTACATTATACATATGTAAATGTATGTATACAGATAGATGTATATAGTAGGTATACAAGGATTTCAACGTTAAGGGCCCATACTAGGAGCCCTAAACTCTCAACCCTAAACCCCAATCCCTCAACCCTAAGCCCTAAACCCCAAAACCTAAACCCGAAAAGCCGAACCCTCAACCCAAAGCCCTACGCCTTAAACCCTTAAAGCCTAAACTGCTAAGGAATGTGTTCAACGGGCGTATCTTAGAGATTGAAGGCCTGCCAGACCTGCCGCTTGGCATGACGTGGCCATGCTTCGAGGGTCAGAGGGATTTAGTAGCAGGGCTTATGAGATTTAGGTTGTTTAGGGTTTAGGATTTGGAGCTTAGGGTTTAGAATTTTGGGTTTGGGGTTTAGGTGGACTTAGTAAGTGTATTTTGGGTACTGCCCCCACCCTGTAACAGTTGCACCATAGTTATAATGCAAGTATACATAGCCCTTAATATGACCCTTAGTATACACTGTTACAGGGTGGGGGCCGTACTAAGTATTCCCCATCGTGGTATATTACAATATATTGGGAATATTTAGTATTAGGGGGGTGCGGGGTTGCATTTTAGTATATTCAGGTTTACAGATTACAGTTTTGGGCGTAGGTCGGAATCGGGGAGTGGGCTTCGGGGACCATGCTCGGAGAGCGTAGGCTTTAAGATTTAGAGTTTAGGGTTGAGGGTCCAGGGGACCAAGTAAGTATATTCCTGAGGCCTAGAACCCGCATGATAGCCATACTTATTCCTTATTCCCATTATCAACCTGCTTACTAAGCCCTCCTGACCTCTCAGGTGGGGCTTAAGGTTTAGCTGGGCAAATACATAGGCTTTAATTAGGGTTGAGGCACTTTGGGGGTTTTGGGGGTCTATAGGGGTTTGGACTGACACTCCCCAGACGCCCAACAGGGGCCGTAAACCGTAAACCTGAAACCCCAAACCCGAAACCCCAAACCCTAAATCCTAACCCACAAAACCTAAACAGCAAACCCTAAACCCTACATCCTAAATCCTAAACCATAAGCATGGGTCTCCATGTTTGGTTGAGGGAGGGTCGTATGCTTGGGAGGCAGCAGAGTTTAGGTTGTTCGGGCGAAGCCAGTAAAATTCAGGGTTTAGGATTTTAGGGTTCAGGATGGAGGGTTTAGGAGGTAGGATTTGGAGTTTGGGCTCCACGCATGCTCAGTAAAGACCTGCAGAAGGCCAACCTGGGATCTTCAAATGCCCATGGTATCCCCAAGGCGTGTGCGGAACCAAAGTACAGATGTGGCTTTGAACTCAGGATTTGGTACCCTGAAATCGCTTCCGCAAAAAAATGCTGGAGAACAATATGTTTATTTTATCATAGCACGCCCCTCCACCCTAAAAGCAGAGCGTTTGCAAAAGGTTTAGGGGGCTATCACACTACAGTTGTGAAGAGGCTTATGAGGGAAGAATGTTGATAATTATTCTGGTCACTACACAAGCTCTCGTTTCCAACCTAAACCCCAAACCCTAAATCCCAAACGCATCCAAACCCTGAGCCCGCAACCCCAAACCCTAGACCCCCAACCCCAAACCCTAAACCCTAAGAAGGTTAGATCCCTCTAATTTTTCGTACGCTGCCCGGATAGCTTATCTCGTCCTGACCTGTCCTGACCCCCAATGCTGGTATTCTTGAAAGGTAGCTCAAAACATGGGCTTAG